TTCTTTTTTTTTTATAATTTTTTTTTAATTTATTTATTTGACAGACAGAGATCACAAGCAGGCAGAGAGGCAAGCAGAGAGAGAGGAGGAAGCAGGCTCCTTGCCGAGCAGAGAGCCCGATGCGGGGCTCGATCCCAGGACCCTGAGATCATGACCCGAGCCCAAGGCAGTGGCTTAACCCACTGAGCCACCCAGGCGCCCCAGGAAGTTCAAGCAAAGTTCTAAGTTAATTTGTGTTTCAAATCTAAAGGAAGGGGAGTATCTTAGACATTCTTTGTAATCAGATAAGGATGAAGATACAGACTTTACCTATAAAACCTAAAAGCCAATTTCAGATATTTTAAATATCTAAATATTTAGGTGGAATTACTTTAAAAGAAAATTTTATTGCACAACATATTCAAAATGCTAAAAATTGTACACCTTGAGGTGTTGGAAACATGATCTTATGAAAATATTGGTAATTTCTACAGATCTGAAAAAAAAAGTTACTGAATTGTACCATATGCCTACTTAAGTTTTTGTTAGCTAAGCAAATAGATTATTTTGAGATATTCATCTATGACTAATTGTCATTGCATTAATTCTACCACATTGTTAGGACTCATGACCTTGCACTGCAGACTTTAAAGTGGATCTGATTTTGAAACCTTGAGAACACTATCGTTGGAAGGGCACTAAAAAATATCATTTTAGGGGTTCCTATAACTTCTTCTAGGAGGAAAGAACTTGATACACATGAGTACTTTCAGGGCACTAAAAAACAGCTTAAAGTTGGCCAAAAGAACCCTGCTTATAAACCATACGAAAAGAAAAGGTCATTACTGCATCAGAATTACCATCATAAAAATATTATAAATAATATTAAAGTCAGACTGAGTCAATAACCACAGGGTTTTATTATCTTCAACACTAGTGACAGCTTAATAAAATATGCTTAGCAAATCATTTGTCTGAAAATTAAAAATTATATTCCTATACAATTACAGAAACAGTATTTCTAAAAAGTGGATGGCAATATTTATTTTATATCCATCAACTGATTAGTATAAATATCTTGCAAATAAAAATGTTACAGTTTTTAGAGATAAGAAAAAATGATGAAAAAAAAGAAAGAAAAAAGTAAGAAAGAGAAGAGAAAAGAAAAAAAAAATCCCAAATACAGGACCCAGAATGTCAACTAATTCAGCACAGTTCTGCAGTGTCAAATAAAAAGTCTATCATAGAAAGCTACATGGAAGTGTAAAACTTCTGTTTCTGGACTTTGATCCAAGCGGTCATAAAAACTTGTCCTCACTTAGTAACTCCTATTTCCATTATATGCCAAATATTCTCAAGCTCTTGCCTAGTACAAAACAAAGCAATAAAAAGTCGATCACGTTACCCCTACAAAACTAAATGATCTAAAACATGCACAATGGCAGAAATGATTAGTTAACTAATGAAAGGTAACATTATTTTAATATGCTGTCAAAAACAACGACAGCTGTTAAAGTGGCATTAGCACCAAGAAGCCTTCATTTGCAAATGCATGAAGATTAGAGCCCTTAATTAACAAAGAATCTCAGGGGGGTAGAACTGCAAAGTTGTCTAGAATTGAGGGTGGGAGTTTCCATATGTTGTAGTTTACTAGTCTCAAATGAATTTTTATGCCAATAGATTGTTATGAATTGTTCAAGTGACACTCAAATTCACATAAACAGGCTGTGATTACTAAAAAGCATCTATGCCCCAAGCTTGCAGCTTTTAACTAGGTGCTTAACTCTGTATTTGAAGACAGTTATAGGAAACAACGTAATATAGCAGCAGAACTTCTTTCAAGGTCAATGAAAATTCACAGGTATTTAAATGAGAATTAGGAATGCCAGAAACCTTCATTCTGTTCAAAGACAACTACTGAGTACAGATCATTCAGTCCAGGGATAGGATAAAAAAGCATGCGTGAATGTCCAAAGACAACAATTAAATCAAATAAAGTAGAAATAGTTCCATTAACATACCTGTTTACAAGCACAGATGGCCAATCTAAGTGACTCCAAATTTATTTAAAATTTTAAAACATGTTAAATATTTCTACAGAACTATCTTGTTTCATGGGGTCCTGGATCACATACAGTACTCATTTTACACTTACAAAGTGTAACAAAGGGAAAAAAGCAAAGTAACAGCTTCCAGTTAAAAAAAAAAAAGACCCTAGCTGTAGAGTTAGACCGTCTGCAATAAGTTTTTAGCACAACCATATGAATCACACTGGGTTTAGAAGTTTGGAATTTTTATAACCAACTACTGTCTAATCTCTCAAACTTAAATCTCCAGTTAATGCCACCAAATATAAGCCCAAACAGGAACCTCTGACTATATTGGTTATATTCTTTAAACTGACAACTTTCAGCACTTTATATCTCCTAATGAGGGCCTGTACTCCTCTTAAATATTTTACACTTTCGTTTTCAACTTACACTCAACAGAAACTCTTACAAATATATAAATATGTACATGTACACACATACATGTCATATTATCAACATCAACTATAATATAAAAACCATAGCCAAAAAACGTCTTTAGATAGAGTTTCAGATGATCTAAATTTTACAGTGAACAGTGTAACTTTGAGAAATGAGGATTTTAATCGAATACTACTTGGCAGAAAAAGTAAGGTGAAAAGAAAATTAAATTTAACCCTTTCCATTTAACTTCCAGTAAAATGTTACTTTCAAAGTACCAGCAGGCTTTGAGTGAAGTGTTCTTATGTATGACTACTTAGAAACGATCACCAAACTATCCCAAGTTTCCGTCTCTAAAGGGAGAGGGGGAAAAAAGAAGAGGACACTGATGCTGATTTATAAGACAAATCACTTTTTTCTTTCAACTACTAATAATCTGCCTACAAAACACCTACAAAGAACACCCCGACACACTGAAAAATATCAGCCCGGCTCTCCTGCCCCCTCCCCATTCAGTAAGGACAGAGAAGTGAAGTGGGCAAGGGTGAAAGGAAACTAGGGACAGATGGTCTCGGGTAGCAGGTGACCTTTGAAAACTGGGGGCCCACAACAATCAATATTTCCAGATCTAGATGGCCTTAGTGCCTCACCCCAAACTCGAAGGAAAGTGTCCTTTGAAAAGAAATCATTTTTTTTTTTTCAGGGTTTATCCTCTGGTTGCTCCAGATTTGGGATTTTGAAGTGGATCTTCAAAGCGGGGTAAGAGGACTTTGAAAGGAGGGCGGAGTAATTAAACGGAAAAGATAAGACTTGCCCTAAGCTGTCGCCTCAGTCCAAAACCCCCAAAAGTGATGAAATCGACACAAACTCGTTAGGAAACAGCCTTAAAAAGAACCCCTTCACAGATCCCCAGGTAATTCACCGTAAAAGAATAAAGAAAGACAAAAGTATCAGACAGTCCATTCTCAGTGAAGCATCCCCCCCGCTGCTGTGCCCCGGGCGCCACCACCCAGCACCCAGCTCCGCGACCCCAAGGGAAAGTCGGAAGTGGGGGTGGGGGCGATGCTGAAGGGACTACCTTGTTTTGTCTCCAAAGGGCAACATAGCAAACATGGGAAGTTCGAAGTGCAGACCATGCGGCCTCCGCAGACTCTGGACTCCAGGAGGCGCCGGGGGGCGACGACGTGCCCAGGTGAGGTGCTGACTCGAAGCCTGCTCCCTTACCGACCCCGCCACCGCGCCACTGCCGGCTGCCGCCCGCTCGCCCCGCACTGCGCCGCCCCCTGGCGGGGAGCGCCCCGCACAGCGGAGACCGAGCGCCGGCGGGTGGGAGCCCAGCGCCCTGCCCTGGCCGGCCGCTCTACCATCACCGCCTTGAGTGCGCTTTCCGGGCGGCCAAGGCAGCCAGCGTCAGCTGCCCGACGGCCCTTGCCTGGACAAGGCGGCAGCGGCGGCGGATTCGGGACCGTTCCCCAAAGAGGCACTTCCAGGAGTCGGCCTGAGTCCGCGTGAGGAATCTTGCCCGCGCCAGCGGCTTCTCACCAACTCCTCAGGCTTCGGGGGATCCGCCCGCCTCGCACTCTCTGCTCCAGCTCCTCCTTCCTCGGCTTCAGCCTTAATTCCTCCCCAACTCCACAGCGAGCGTTTCCCACGCGCGCCCCAACTGCCCCCCGGGCAGCCACTTCCCAAAGGACAGGCGCCCTCCTCCCCGCCGTCCGCAGCGGCCGCCCCGGCGCTTGGCTCCGGACCAGGAAGAGCCGGCCTCTGGGGTCGGCTGGGGCCGCGCGGGACCCGTCGGTCCCCCGCTGTCCGCTCCAGCCGCGCCTCCCCAGCGACCTTTGTGTGCGCGCGGCGAACCCCTCCGCGGAGCCCTTTCAGCGGCGCCGCCTTGGGAGCAAGAAAAGAGTGAAAGGAAGGGCCCGGGCCAAGCAAGGGATTGGAGGGGGGCAAAAAGCGACAGCACTTACTCTGGGAAGATTCCTGCATGTTGCTGCCTTGGGCTCCTCTTGGTTTCGCCCCTACCCCGGCTTCCCCGCCCCGCCAAGGGCCGGAGCGAGGGGGGACAGAGGAGGAGCGGAGCCGCTGGGACCGAGTTGGAAATGGTGCTTCCGGAGCTGCAGGGAAGGGGCTCAAAAACTGTTTGGGTTTGGCTAAGGATATTTAGGGGTACCAGGAGGCTAGAGAAGGGCTGCGGGAAGGCCCGTGAGCGCGGACGTATGTCAATAATCATGCTCTCAGGGAATACCAGGGCAGCCGGGGTATGTGTATGGGGCTGGGGGTGGGGGTGGGGGGGGGCGTCCGCATGTACATTTCTGTATTTGAACTTTGTGAGCAAGTTAGATCGAATACCACACTTGGGCTTTTCGACTGTACTAGCCATGAAGTCGAGGTCTTTACACCCTAACAGCTCCAAAGACCTACTTCAAAAGCAAAGGGCCTGGGAACAGAGGTTGTTTAATGGTAAAGGAAGAGGAATATTCAGTAAGGGAGAGAGATGCGCCCCCAGGTCACTCTCAGCGCCCCGGGTGGGTCTTCCAGGGGTCCTCTTCTTACCTGGTGGCTTTCCTAACAAAGTAAGAGAAGGTAAAGTCCCAGTGATCATCCAGCCACGCTTCCACGCAATCCTGGTCCCGCTGCAGCTGCGACGCCCCGGAGCCAGGGCTGGCCCGCTCCATGATCCGCGCCCAGCGTCTCTGCAGCTGGTTTGTGCTGTTTTCCACCCCAGCTGGGGTCCCTCCCTCGGAGTAGCAGGACTCTGCCCCGAGACCCTCCCCCTCCTCCTTGCTCCAGTCCGGCTGGCTTTCAGCGAAGCCGCTCCCGCACTTCGCCAGCCTCTCGCCGCGCCCCGCCTCTCCTGGTCCTCACCGCTCCCAGGTGTGGCGGGTGGGGGCAGGCGCAGCAGCCGCGCGTCCTCCCTGGGGTCCAACGGAGACGGGTCTTGCAGTCTGTCGGGTCCCCAGATTCTAAGGCGGCGGCGGAGGCAACTGGCTAGCTCTCCGGAAGCTAAGTGGCCGCGGCTGGAAGGAGGCCACGCCGCCGCTGGGGTGCGCTGTGTGCTGAGCGGGTTCCAGTGGAGCGCGCAGAGGTGACTGTGGGTGTGTTCGCAGAGTGCCCCACAGTAAGAAAGGGAGAGTCGCGATGTGTGCGCCCATCCCAAGTGCTGAAAGCTGGAGTTAGGGGAACTTTTCACCAAAAGTAAGAGGTGCTGGTATTCTGGCAACTTTTCCTCAGGCCTGAGTGAACAATGACCATCGCTCCTCGCTTTCCTCCAACCCAGGGCTTGGGTCTGGAAGGTGCAGGGATAGACCTTCTCCGAGCCTAGCCAGCGCGGGGCACGGGGGGGGGGGGGGGCGGGGGGGGGGAGTGTGTGCCGCAGATTTGTAGGCCCTGGTGGGTAACTTCCAACAAAGACATTCCCGTACTTAATATGTTAGTAATAACGACAGTAATAATTATAAACGACGTGTCTTTGCATCAAACATACCCTTTTCATTACTGGAACAAGACTTTCCGGGAAAAGAAAAAGGAAAACTCAAATAATCGTGATGGCTTGTGTATGAAGTTAGAAAACGGGCACCTCTGTACAATTAGGTTAACTTGAGAGCACAGGTGCTACCCGGGTACAGTGCGGAGCGGGCTGGTTAGCCCAAGTTTAATTATATTTATGTTTAAATGGAATTAATACACACAGCCCACAAAAAAAGTATCCGTTTCAAAGGGCTCAGCCTTTCTACTCTGTTTTGTCCTATCCCAACATGTTTTACAAAAAGGAATTGGTGTCTTCCTTTTGCTTTGTTCTCATCTCCATCTCCTTGTCCCTCAATTTGCAGTTTTAATATGATAATTTGCAATGACCTAATTTGGGGACAAAATTAAATCTGGAGTTGTATGTTTCACAACGTGTGAATGACACCATTAGCGGTGATATACCCATAGTGATTTAGCTGACATACTTTTAACAAAGTCCTTTCAAAATATTCTTGGCAAGAATGTAAGACATTACTCATAGAATGAGTATTACTACACAGAAAAACATAATTAAATTGATAGTATAAGAACTTTAAAAAATGTCTTCCAATCTCCCAATGCAATTGTTTATCCTTCCTGCACTAAATAACTGTCCTTCTATAATTGAAGTTTTTCTGAAACTTTACTGATGTATGCAAGTAAACAGAAACCAACAAAAAGTAAGCAAAGCAGTAGAATGTGAAATAACGTGTGATAAATTATATCAGATTTTAATGTGCAAGTTGTCTCTAATTTGATACTGTGATCCTGATGTGTGACTACAGTGCTCGTGAACTAGAGATTTTGTCCTCAGTGCTGTTTTTCCCTGTGGAAATCCATGTATTTCTCCTAACAGAGGGTCAATTACAATTTAAAACTATACTTTGTACAAAAATGGAGTGAATTTTTGGCTTGAATCGTTTGCTTCAGTTGGCTGCTGTTAAATAAACAAGCACTTCCTGTCCATTTTTCTATTAGACTGAAAGGGTTAAATTATCAGAAACCAGAAAGGTTTTTGAAAAGTTAGTGCAAGAAAAACAATCCGAGGATTCTGCCATTAATGAGTCTGAATTCTGTGTGGTGTACATGGTAGTTTGGGGGTTCCTGTGAAGGCCTGTTATTTGAAGTGAGCATATCACAGGAGATTGGGGGATGAGTTATTTCAAACTGTTCTAGTCTCCAGAAATCTCAGATAAAATTTATAACAAACCTCTGTAACTTTAAAGTTTTTTTTTTTAAAGATTTTTTATTTATTTATTTATTTGACAGATCATAAGTAGGCAGAGAAGCAGGCAGAGAGAGAGGAGGAAGCAGGCTTCCTGCTGAGCAGAGAGCCCGATGTGGGGCTCGATGTGGGGCTCGATCCCAGGACCCCGGGATCATGACCTGAGCCAAAGGCAGAGGCTTTAACACACTGAGCCACCCAGGTGCCCCAAACTTTAAAGTTCTTAAAGGTGACTTTACCCTGACCTCTTGTTTCCCAGCTCTGTTTTATTTTTTATCCCTATTTGCTAGATTGCTTAATGTTTTAACTTACTAGTATAGATTGCACTAAGCACCTCCAATCTTGTTTTAGAATGAGTTGAAGATTGAGTAAATAATAAACATTACCAGAAAATAACTTTAAAAAAGCTGTTAATGGTGTTTACACAAACAAATGTGCAATAGAGGCCTAACAGAAAGGCCTCCAATTCCCATTGTACTAGAATAACATGCAAACTCTCTAAAGTAGCTTACAAAGTTCTGCATGATTTGACTTTTACCTACCTCTACTGTTGAGGTTCTGCTCATACAACTAGAAAAAAATAAATCTGTGATGATCAAATTCCTTTCCCCAAAAAGGAATGTGAATTATTAAAGTCATGAAACTTTCCTGCCTCGTTTTTTTTAAATTCAAATACCATATATATTTTTATCCAAATACCAATATATTCTGTCCCCTTTGCAACCTTACAGTATATTCAAGGCTTCAGAAAATTAATATATTTGCATTTATAATGAGTTCCAATTTTCACACTATTGAAGGGAGAAGACTAGAAAATACATTGTGGTGTTGAATGGAATTGGAGGTTAAAAATTAAGTGTGTGTGTGTGTGTGTGTGTGTGTGTGTGTGTGTTATATCATGTGGAGAAATCCCACATGATGAGGAAATTCAGGCAGTTTCTAAGAGCTGTGGGATCCTCCAGCTGACAGCCTACAAAGGAGTTCCAGTCAGTAAGAAAACGAATCCCTCAGTCTTACAAATATAAGGAACTAAATTCTGTAAACAACCTGTGTGAGCACAGAAGTGGATATTTCCCCATTTGGCCCCCAGATGTGACCACAATTCCAGCCAATATATAGATTTGCAGCCTTATAAGATGCTAAGACATTTTCATAATTGACATCCTAATAATAATGAGTCCTATAATCCATGAACATAGTATATTTATCCACTTATTCCAGTCTTTTAAGATTTTTCCCAGTATTTTTAGTATATTTGTCTTACGCATATTTTGTTGAATATATTTCTGTATCTACTTCAGCTCTGTCACTGAGAAGTACTAGAAGCAATGACATTTCGGTAGCAGTGAGTACACTTATTACCCAGATTTTGGTTTCTAAATACCATTCTTCACTTTAAAAGAAATCAGAACTCTTTGGAGAAAAAAATCCAGATCTAGGACACAAAAAGCATAAGATATGCCTGGAAAATCTTGTTTAGCTAGAAAATTAGAAAGGTTTAAGATGATGGCAATAAATCAGAAGGGCAGATGATGTATCTTCAGAGAGCTTTCAAAGGATAAATCTAGAGCAATTGGAATATCAAAATATACAGTAATAGTAACAAATTTTAACAACTGACTAAAACAAGAAACTGTAATTTCACTCTGATATAAATAAATCACTAGATAAGTAAGTAAATAGGAAAGAAGAGAATGTCCCTTACAGTAGAATGCTAACTAATAAATACAAAAGGAGTTATGTAGTAAGAGAATCATTGATGGTTGCTAAAACTAATCAGGGAGAGTTTGATGATGAATGGGTTTTTACATAGTCTTAAAGTATCTCCTTGTAAGTTTTTTATTAGTTATCATGGGGAAATAGTATCTTTACAATGAAGAGAACTTATGGATACCTTTCTAAGCAAGTGGTCTCTAATATTACTTATACTGGGACAAACCAAGCATACACACCTTTTAATAGGATATTCTGAGAAGGACACAATATCACTTTTATGTTATTCCTGAATCTAAATCTAAACATGAGGATCGGATTGAGGGATTTCCAAATAAACACACCTAGTTTGAGATTGAGGACCTAGTTATTTACTACTTTGTAACAATATTACCATAATATTAGTGGCTTGAAGCAATGCACATTTGTTACTTCCAGTTTTTGTGAATAAGGAGTCTAGGCTCCGCTAAACTGTGTTTTCTGGGGCGCCTGGGTGGCTTAGTGGGTTAAGCCTCTGCCTTTGGCTCAAGCCATGATCTCAGGATCCTGGGGTCGATCCTAGCATCTGGCTCTCTGCTCAGCAGGGAGCCCACTTCCCTCTCTCTCTCTGCCTGCCTCTCTGCATACATGTGATCTCTCTCTCTCTCTCTCTCTCTCTCTGTCAAATAAATAAAGTCTTTTAAAAATAATAAACTGTGTTTCTGCTCAGGGGAGGTCTCACAAGGCAATCGGGGGTCAGCCAGAACTGCAATCTCATCTAAGGGTCGGTGGGAGAAAGTTCTGCTTCCAAGTGCACTCAGTCTGTTGGCAGAATCCAGTTCTTTGTGGTTGTAGAACTGAGGGATTCTTTTTCTTGCTGAGTTCTGGCTGGAGACCTAACGGGCTGTTGGCTGGGAGCCACCCTTTACCTCAAGAAGCACCTTTGTTTCCCTGCCTTCATTATCCTAACATGACTGCCTGCTTCCTCAGAACCAGCAAGGGAGAGAGACCCCAGTGAGATGGGACTATAATCTTATGTACATAACCACACATTCACATATGACATACATCCCATCAACTTTGCCATATTCTGTTTGTTGGGAGCAAGTCAAAGTTCTGCCTTCACATGAGGGGAGGGGAATCACAACAGGGTATGAACACCAGAAGGATCCATGGAGGCCACTTCAGGAATCCTTCTAGGATAACACTGTGTCATAAAGCATAGTGAGTGCGATGTAGCATGTGTCCAATAAATATTTGTGGGGGCAATTTGAAAAAAAATAAAGTTTTCTTAGATTATTTTGGCAGTATCTTTGTATAGTGTATGTAAATACATTAGTAATTGATCTTTAAGGAAGGGTTATGTCTTTTCATGGTCTTGGAAGTCTTATCACACTTAACAAAATCACCTTTTACTCTCAGCAGCCCTGGGCTCATGTGGAAGTTTTCTGAGGACAGTGTTGGAGTATACGCTTCAAGCTGTTGCACGGCTGGTATCAGCCCAGTATCTTAAATGCGTGAATTTAAATTAGATCATAAT